TTTGAAAGTCTTCTTTTCCAAATAAAGCACATATTTAAAATGTTTTACCTTAAATGTGCCCCTCAAACTTTTGACAGGAAAAGACTTTATTGAAGAAATGTGTAAATAAGCAATACTTCACCTAAAAAACTGACCAGCAGTGAGGGCAGGTCAGCGAACAAAACTACTACTGCTACTATCTATTTTGCATGATCTCATTTACATTTACTATATAAATGGGATTACATTGTTGGATTTTTGTGTGGACTGCCTGTTCATTCACTGACCACTTGTGCGACTTACTGCCCTTTGTCCCTTACAGGAGCCACAGCCAAAACTGTAGTTTAGATCCTGACCATGAGGAACTACCTCGACGTTACTATATTTAAGTGTAATTTTGGTTACATGGTGTAATCTGTTATCTCATGGCCAATGTGGACAAAAGTATCTCGGCAATCAACACCGTCCCTTCTCCCTACAATCTACGATCATCCAATCATGAGCCACAACCTTCCATATCCAATCAGTAGCTCAGATTACTGCACACGCATCTGTCTAAAGATAAAGCCAGAATAAAGCCCTACTCACACAACACAGACACGATGTGAAACTGCACTGATTTCATTCAATCAGCATCGTATCCAGAATTTAACAAAATTAAGTGTTAATTTTTTTTTAATTTAACCAAAAATAAGGAATCAACATATTAACTGCGTATTGGGTTTATATGAGGTTGCTTCAGTATAAAACTGTAGTTTTGCAAGTTAAGATCTTTATATATTTGAGGGAAATGGAGAGCGAGAGAAAGATACAGACTGTGTGTGTGTGTGTGTGTGTGTGTGTGTGGGATTATTTTCTGCAGCTGATTGTTTGGTGTGAGCTTTGTGACGGGATAGAGTTATAATCCCATAACTCCCTCCCTTAGAGAAAAAAAAGAGAGAACATGCTGGCTTACTGCCTCACCTGTCCTGAGAGGGTTAAAACAGACAGACAGACACACACACACACACACTCATTCATACTTACACTGTAATTATTATTGACTGTTCCACTGAAAATGCACCTCTGTCACATAAAAACCTTGCATCTCTTCTTTCCACATAATCTGAAAACATCAAGTGCTCTTTCACATGGTGTGTAAGTTTCTTTATGAATGGAGCAGCAATGGTCTCAAAAATCTCACTACATTAACTTACATTTAAAGTTAAAAAATACTTTTGCTTCTCCTGTAATGTTCTTATTTTGGAGATACAAGGTTTTGCTCCAATATCAACAAAATGCAGCAAGTCTAAACTGCTCCATGATGATTCCTCTTTTATTCCTCACTGATAAAGTGAAAAGCACTTTTTGCCAACGTTTGTTTTTTTTCCAGTACTGGATTAGTTAATAGAACCTGCAGAAATCTCTATTTTGTTTAAAAATGAAATAAACTGTATGGAGACTATATTTAAGCTCTTAGTTATTAACATTTTTAAAGAGGGTTTGATTGGCTGATTTCTCAGTTATTTCACTCATCTGTCCAACAGACTAAAACTTCCTCAATTTGTACTAGAGCAAAATGCTGTTACAACTCAAAATATAGCTTGCTGTTCTGAGTATAGACCTAGACTGCACAGTTTTTATCAGACTGGAGGCATATGGTCCCCAAAAAGAAACACACACACACACACATACACACAGTCCTCCATACTGTAAGGTGGAGTAGAGTGTGTGTGTCTAATCAGTGCCTATTTCAACCTCTTTACATACGGTCACTGTTAATCAAGTCTAATACACTCCAAACAACCACACCGACCGCTTAATATGGTAACACATGCACCACATATGCTCATAGTTTCCTATTACATTTCACTGAAAGCTAAAACAGAAAGTATGGTGGGTTGATGCAGAATCAACTGCATACAAGTGTCATTTAAGATAAATGGGTTCATATTAGTCAAAGAAAATGTTAATGCTCAATTGTTGCTCTGTTATGGCTGAGGAGACTTAAAAGGACTTCCAATGATTTTTCAATTCAATAGTTAAGATGTGGAAAAAGCACTCAGACTGGTTTGATGTGAAATGCTCTGTTCTAGAGAAACTTATTGAGTTAGAATTGTTCACAGTGACTTCTGAAGAGTTGAATGCCTCTAAAAGCTGCCTCACAGAAAGTCTCCTGATCCAAAAAAGAGCAACAATCCTTGCAATGCATATAAGTTATATTGAGGAATTACAATAAAGACTACTTGACTTGACTTGTTATTATATAACGTAAAACAGATCAAATAAGCCGAAACAGTACTCATAGAAATATAAAACTCAGAAAACACATGTAGGTTCACTGGTCATTTAGGATAGTAAATAAAATAGCTGTATTTGCATTGCGGACATTCTGACCCCTAGTTCATCACAATATTTAAAGACAGTTTCATGCTACACAAGATGTACAATATATATTTTTTAAACTGAAACAGATAAAAAGAAACTAGTAATGTATTTCAAAAATTACTTTAAATTCTATGAATACAATGATTTTTATTCAACGTTTTACGAACTGCACTGCAGTAAACCCAATGATACAGGCCTAATTATGCTCTCTTTGTAGCGAAATATGCAGTTGCTCACTGTTCTTTAAGCACCGACGACATCCACAATATGCTCAGAAAAGCATACTGTGACGTAATTTCAATTTTCAATCAAAACGATAAAATGTTGTCATATTGCCCACTACTTTTCTTACATCTCAATTGTATAAATATGCAGAAATTGTGAAAAATCTAAGAAATTTCCTTTTAATGGTGATTCTTCTAAAATTCCTTAGCATTATGTAATCACAGTATCAAAACTGAGAAAGCTCTTCGTCTTGGATGAGAAATGGTTGAGGTCTTGTCTTTAATCGCATAAAAAGATGAGTGTTAGCATCTTGGCACAGAAATATAATCTGAGAAATATGTGTGACTTTACTGAGATCTTTACTAAAACTCAAGAGGAGGCAAATAGTGGGAGAGGTTTTTTTTTTTTTTCTTTTACACTTGCGTACTCTGTGTGCATGCCAATGTATGGGTTGACAGTGTGCTAGTAGTTGAAGTGTGATAGTATTTCAGTACTCTTTCTCTCTCTCCCTCACACACACATACACACAGACACCTCCCCCCCGGGTTTGTTCGTCTCTCTCGGACTATAATCTGAGTGCATTAATCTGTTGTTTGAACTCCTTAAGCACAGACTGTCTATCACATCTGCTCCCCTCACCCTGTTTAAAGCTCCGCTATTTATAAATAATCCCCCACTCCCTCTCTTTCTCTTTTCCCTCTCTTTTCTTCTTGCATTCTCCTATAAATCACTCATTTTACTCATATAAGGATTCTTCGTTAAACTATTCCCTCCTACTGCTGTCCATTTTAATTCTATAATCTATAGATCCAAAGTTGGCCTGTGAGAATATTTGATTTGGCCAGTCAGAAAGTTACCCTAAGACCGCCCTCTCCCCAATGAGAGAACACATTTTAGTGCTACATATAACTTCTTTCATTTATATTGCTCTTTTAAATAATGTTTTAGTAACAAAATATATTGTTATGTTATAAAATATTTAAAAAAACATTTATAATCGACTGATCTTCTTTATTTGTGTTTTGTTTTTTTATGGCCCTTAGCCCACCACAAATATTGCATTTTGGTCTCCCTGTTCTATACTAATCTGCAAATGTTAACATTTACACTGCCCACAAAAGTTTGGGGACACCTAGCTTTAACAAGTTAGCACATTTTCTTTGTTCAGTTTTTCATTGACACTAATATTTTGTGTCAATATTAGTGACTGTGCTACCTTGAGAGTAAAACCAAAACTTGTACATTTGATCCCCTTGTTGTGATACCAGCACTTATCAACACTCAAAGCTTTCAGGTGTTTGAGACACTTTTTGGCCAAAAGAGTTTCAATATGTCCAATAATTTGAAAAAAGCAAATTGTCAAATCATTATTTAGGCAAAATCTGCTCTTCATAACAAGGAATACAATTTGATGAACATGAAATTACATGTTGAAAGTAAATCCCGTGGATTAGCACATAGCTGCTGTATGCTAACAAAAGCTTTGCAGGGATTTTTGTTCTTACTTAACACACAACTCAAATTCGGGCAACATTGTAGTTGATGGTCGACCTTAGAAACGTTTTAGATCCCCACCGTCCCACTACCTTGCATTAAGTGTATTAAATTCTCCATAACTTTTACATAACCCTATACCATAAAACTTAAACCTAAAGATAACGCTCACTCTTATCCTAACCATAATCTCAAACCAAACCCTGACCCGTGGCTTTAACCTAAATGCTAGTTTCAACATATATTTTATTAATAACTTGGACGACTGAACGGTTTTAATGAAGTGGGACCCATATTTCAGGGAATCCCCAAACTTTTGATAGGTGCTAGGTTCTCTTTCTCCTTTCCCTCTCCACTGCTTGAATTTCAACCTTTGACTCACATACCCCACCTGTCCCAGACACATAGTTTAGTCTGTAATGAGTGTGCATGTGTGCGAATAGCTGCTCTTTGAGTCACAGTTTTAACATTTAACATTAGAGCGGTGACTCAAACAGGTCTAATCTCCACTCTCCAGTCAATCTGTCATCAGTCCGACACATCCAACCCTCAAGGAATGCCCGCCGTTCCTCTAACTGCTAATGCTCTAGGCTCTGCTGGAGCACACAGGATAATTGGCGAGTAATAAATAACAAGTGAATGAGAGGGATAGACAGCGTTGATCCCACATTACAGAGCCCTGCGAGTCTAAACCATGAGCTATCGTGCCAAGGGACGCATTATGGAGATGATTACATGCGGACAAAATGCAGAATTTCCATACACACAGACAAATAAATTTAGCAAAAATAACCACTTGTGTTTGTCGTACCAGCACAGGCCACATAACAGTAAAAGGATAAAAATATAGATGAGGAATGTGAGAAAGATAAGGAAAATAAACAAATGAAGAAAATGAATCAAAAAGAAAAAGTGTAGCACAGGGTGATTCTTACCTGTGATCTGGTTGTGCCTCCCATCCATCGAGGCATCAGGAAAGACACAATGATGGAGGGCTAGAGAGAAAAAGAGAGAGAGAGAGAGAGAGAGAGAGAGAGAGAGAGCGAGAAGTGGGTGGGGGGCAAAGTCACAATCTTTGCGTCATCTGAGAAAATTCGCAGATTAATAACAACAGCTTGATACTAAATCCCAATCGCTAAATCTGGTAGTCTATATCTTTCTCTCTAACTAAATCAGCCTGTTTAATTATATTATCCTCTTTGACACAATCTATTTGTGTCATTTGCCCCGATGTTTTTGTATGGGATTATCACTTTCTTGTCTTTTTTCTTACTATGTGTTGAATGTGAGCTGAAACACAACCAGCCATTATAAATCTGTTGATCACACAAAATAAATGTAAAACGACCTGCATTCAATAGAACAGTACACTTTACCACAAAAAGATGGAGCATGAAAAAAGCAGGACCGTATTTTTCGGGGGCCAACCTGCTCACCTCTCTTCCTCTTGCTGATGAGTTTCAGAGGTGCGGTTTGACCTTCTGTCCACTGGGGGGCGACAAGCCTCTGCTGCCTATCATGTGAAGTATGGGGTTAAAAGGCCACTTTTAAGGGTTTTTTTTTCTTTTTAACAATATTAAAAAAAATTAATTCTTGAAAAAGTGCGTTTTCCCCAAAACTTTAAAGTTAAATGGTTATTTATTTTCATTTTAATTGTCTTACATTCTTTTATTATTTTTTGTCTTAGGAATAATTCTCTTCTTCAAAAACTAATCTTACACTCTTAAAAATGGTTCTTCATGGGTTCTTTAGTAAAGACAATGGTTCTATATAGAACCATGGACACTTACTTTGCATGCTTAAATGGTTCGTTGCATGGTGAAATGGTTTTTCAGATGGATGGACAACGTGTTGGTTCTATATAGCACCAAAAGGCGTTCTTCAATTGTTACAAGCTTACCATCATAAACAAAAGCAGAACCCTTTTGGTGTTATATAGAACCATTTATGACACATAGTTAATTAATCTAAAAACATTTCACCATGCAAAGAACCATTAAAGCATTCAAATGGTTCATTTTGGTTCTAACTTGTTGGATCTATACAGCACCAAAAAGTGTTCTGCTATTGTTTATGTTGTCAAGCTTGTAACAATAGAAGAACCCTTTTTGGTGCTGTATAGAACCACTTTCAAAAAGGTTCTATAGTGAGGCATACATAACACATTCTCCATCAACCCGAAGAACCATTTCACCATGCAAAGAACTATGTAGCATGCAAATGGTTCTTTGAGCGTTCATGGTTATACATAAAACCATTCTATTTAGTGAGGAACCCTTGAAGAACCATCTTTTTTTAGAGCGTATGATAAAAAGTAATCTATATGATAAGCTCATACTCGTCTTAGTGAAACTATAACTTTTTTAAGACCAACTTTTCCAAAGTTTAAATAGTTTAATTATTACAATAAAGTCTGTTCTGAAATACTGTCCATTCAGTCTGTGTACTGTAACGTGTGTAGTAAGCACAAGGCTTGTAACTGCTGAACCATTTAAGGTGGAACGGGAAAGAGGCTGGCAATTGGATGTCATAAGCACAACGGATGTGACTGCTCCACCATTTAAGGTGGAACGGGAAAATTCGAACAAGAAGCTGGAAATTGGATATAACGTTAACTAGTTAGCTAGCTAGCTAGAAAGCACGAAGCATGTAATAGCTTCACCATTTAAGGTGGAACGGGAAAATGCGCTTAAAAAGCTGACAAAGCACGAAGAACATAAACGCTCCACCTTTTAAGGTGGAACGGAAAAAAGCGATCAAAAAGCTGGCAACTGGGTTTAATAAGCACGAAGAATTTAAATGCTCCACCTTTTAAGGTGGAACGGGAAAATTCGAACAAGAAGCTGGCAATTGGATATAACGTTAACGCTATCTAGTTAGCTAGCTAGAAAGCACGAAGAACGTAATAGCTCCATCATTTAAGGTGGAACGGGAAAATGCGCTTAAAAAGCTGACAATTGGGTTTAATAAGCACGAAGAATTTAAATGCTCCACCTTTTAATGTGGAACGGGAAAATTCGAACAAGAAGCTGGCAATTGGATATAACGCTAGCTAACGAGGTCAGCTAGAGCACGAAGAATGGAACAGATCCACCATTTAAGGTGGAACGGGAAAAATGCGATCAAAAAGCTGGCAATAGGGTTTAATAAGCACGAAGAATATAAATGCCCCACCTTTTAAGGTGGAACGGAAAAAAAGCGATCAAAAAGCTGGCATCTTGGTTCAATAAGCACGAAGAATATACATGCTCCACCTTTTAAGGTGGACCGAGAAAATGCGAACAAGCAGCTGGAAATTGGACATAACGTTAGCTAGCGTTAACTAGGTTAGCTAGAGCACGAAGAATGGAACAGCTCCATCATTTAAGGTGGAACGGGAAAATGCGATCAAAAAGCTGGCAATTGGGTTTAATAAGCACGGAGAATACAAATGCCCCATCTTTTAAGGTGGAACGGGAAAATTCGAACAAGAAGCCGGCAATTGGATATAACGTTAGCTAACCTAACTAGCGTTAGCTAGAAAGCACGAAGAATCTAACCTAACCTAACCTAGTTAACAGGTCCACTATTTAAGGTGGAACTGGCAAAAGCAAGAAGCTGGCAATTGGATGTAATAAGCGCGATGGATGTGACCGCTCCATCTTTTAAGGTGGAACGGGAAAATTCGAACAAGAAGCCGGCAATTGGATATAACGTTAGCTAGTTAGCTAGAAAGCACGAAGAATGTAACCTAGTTAGTTAACAGGTCCACCATTTAAGGTGGGACTGGCAAATCTGAACAAGATGCTGGCAACAGGAAGCGAGCTAGTTAACCTAGCTGGGTTAGCTAACTTACCTTCAGCAGCTTCTGAGTAAACGCTGACGAGCACAGCAGTGTCTCCAATCGGGAGAAGAATTTTGTCCTCCAAAACGAGTAATTATTTAAATTACATTACTAAAATAAAGTATATTTGCTGTAGTATTTAAACCATCTGGCTGTTTTCCTCCATTTTCGTTGTCGTCTTTTTAGGCGCTGAGTGAATTAAACTGAACTCTCCTAACGGCTGAAGCCCAACGGTCACCGCCGATTCAAAATTCAAACCATGTCTCGCGCTGTTAAATGATTGGCTGTAAAACGTAAAGGACGTCGATGGGCTTTGTGATAAATCACATAAATAATAAATGAAATAAAAAATACTCAATAAAAGAATTGTCTTTGTTAAAATAATAGTTTTTTTTAAAGAATAGTGTTTAAAGGGGAATTCCACCAAGTTTCTAAATAACTCCGTCCTCATATAAGTGGTTTGGCGTGAAATGGTTCATTCTAGAAGAACCTTCTTTACAGTGGTGGTGATATGAATGCAGGCCTGCCAGCCTTTACACATTTTAAACCACATCATAATTACAATCACACAACCCGCATAAGACAGTGAGTGCGTATACATGCACTCAATAATCCGATCATAATCAGGTTTCTGCAGTTATCCGATTGCTCAAATGGTCATGTAAACACCATACTCTGATCTAGAAATCCGATTAAGAAATCCGATAAAGAGAGCTGGATTTTAGCTCAGTGATCAGGTTTCTCAGTGCATGTAAACTCTTACTCTGATTTCTTTCAGATTTCTCAGTCTGCGCATGCGTGAGAACAGACGGTGGATATCGCGAGACGCAGCAAAACACTTTTGGAGCGGTGCTGAAACCGAACACGAAATAAAGGATTTAAATATTCTTCATTTTCTAAATCATGTATGTTCATGTTTTCAGGTAAATGCGACATGAAGTTTTACGTTATGTTTACGTCACACCTTCTTCTGTGAGTTTATTGGCTGGTTGCAAAGCAGAAATCTGATTACTGTCTGACTCATGTAGACCCAGAGTTTCCCCATTATCTGATTACTCAAGTGCATGTAAATGCGTTGATCGGGTTACTGACAAAATCTGATTTTCTGCAGTTATCGGATTATTAAGTGCATGTAAACACACACAATGTGTCAGACATCAGGCAACACCTATTCAACAATTTCATGTAATAACTTTCTGTGAAGGAGCTTTCAGGGGCATTAAACTCTTCAGTCATCTGGGTCCTATGACTGGCTGCTATGAGTATCACCGCCACTGTGAACAATTCTGACTCATCAAGTTTCTCTAGAAAGGAGAATTTCATACCAAACCACTCTGAATTGCTTTGTTTACATCTCAGCCATGTTATTATGTAGAACTTTTGAAAAATTGGTGAGGTTCCCCTTGAAGCAATAAAAGGGGAGTGATGAATATTACCGCATTGTGATTTAATCAACTCACCAGAAATGCAAGATTGAGTAAGGAAGCCCTGAACACTTGTTTCAAGTAGGTTTACTATTGGAATCACATCCAAAACCACATGCTATGCCTAAAATACATGCTCATATAGTATAGTATGTTGCCTATATATTATACTCTATGTACTGTACTGAATGAATGCACTTCTAATAGTAGTGCCCTATTTTTGATGCCATGATATGCCACTTTCCTGCGCAATCTATCAGCACCCCTGTAGTTCATTCATCATTGGTCAGTTTGTGACCACAGGACCACTGCTGTCCAGATATTGTCTGGGAGGTGGTCCATTCTCAGCACAGCAGTGACACTGACATGGTAGTGTGTGTGGTGCTGCTACGAGTGCATCAGACGCAGCGGTGCTGCTGGAGCTTTTACACATGTCAGTGTCACTGCTATGTTGAGAACAGACCACCGCCCAAAAATATCCTGCCAAGAGTCACTCTGTGGTCAGAAACAGAAAATGACATTGATTAAAGTCAGTGCGAATTGGAAATCAGAGTGCATTTTTCTTCCTTAACGTTACGAATCCCTGAGTGAAACAGGATATTCAGGCGGGAAATAATTGTGTGAGGGATATGAGTTTTATTTTTCAGCATCTAATTGGAGCATGAAAAGCAAGAACAAACACAGAGTCAGACTCTCTTGTAGAAAAGCCGAAGAAAAAAATAAATAAAAATCAGATCCAAAATCAAAC